ACATACGAGGCGCGGGACGCTCACTGGGTCCCGACCGGACATCCCGCGGCGCCAGCCAGGGAGCGCCAGCAGGCATCGCCTGCCAAGCCAGCGGCGAAAGGGGGCAAACCCCCGCTGGCGAAGCCGATCGCAGGGAGAGCGGTCGCACGCGCCATGAGGGATGGCACTGTGCTATGCCAAGCTTTCCAGCATGGGCAATGCAAGGCGGGGCAGTCATGCCCCAACGGCCAGCACAGGTGCGCTGCGATCCTCAGAGGCGACCGAGTCTGCGGGATGCAGAATCACGGAGCCAAGGAGTGTCGGGCGGCGAAGAAGTCTTGAGGGTGCCCTGGGGGGGAGGGGGACTCCCCCATAGGGTCAGAACTCTCGCACCCCCACACCGGATCCCAGGAGGGTGGCCCGTTGATGGTCGACCTCATGTGTGGTCCCAATATGCCCCTGGCGAAGGCATTTCTGTTTTGTGGCTGGAGGGTGCTGCCCATCGACTGGTCGTTGGACCCGGGGCACGACCTGTCTAATCCGGTGAGGCAACAAGCACTGGAGGCTCCGATGCGGTCAGCAGCCTTCACAGCAGCAGCCCTGGACTGCTCCACAAAATCCAGGGCCAGGGAGATCCCCAGAACCTTTGCGGACGGCCGCCCAGGTCCCAAACCGCTGCGTTCTGAGGCACACCCAGAAGGTTTGCCCGGGCTTGACCCCAAGAACCAAAGGCGGGTGGATGTGGACAATGCGGCATGTTCCTGGATCCTGAAGCAGCTCCAGGCTGGCAGGGGGGCCCTGCGGGAGAACCCGGCTCGAAGCCTCCATTGGTCCCTACCGCAGGAGGAGACAATGATGGAATCCGGCCTCTGGTACGATACGACGTACTCGGCATGCGTTTTCATGTCAGCGCGTTGTAAGCACCAGCGGCTGCGGCACAACATCCATGAGATCGAGCTGATTCACCCCCGTGAGTGCCACCACCAGCATGCAGCCTGGGAGTGGGATCCTTGGGAGGACACCCAGGGGCGACACCAGTTCCCATCCAAGGAGGAGGCGGAGTATTCAGCCACCCTGGCCTTCGCAATTGCAGTCTCGGTCAGTTGGTGGGCGGTCCGAGAAGGGCATGCCCGTCTCCACGCCGCCGCTGGAAGCGTGTGGCCGGAGGCAACACTGGCTGGACATCGATCCCAGAGCTATGCGTGGCTGGGCCATGACTCCACTGGCCATCACACTCGGCTTGCCACCGCTGCATCCCGAGGAGCGGGCACGGCTGCCCACGGTGGTACGAGTGGCGGATGTGCTCGCAGATGGTAAACTGCCCCTGGACGTGGTCTACGTGGGTCAGGGCCACCACTCACACCGGGTCCCACGGTCTCAGTGGGCATCACCGTTCGTGCAGGGGCACACCTGTACGACGGACGACTGGCTGCCGCTCTACGTGGACTTCGTCCTCGCCAACTTGCAGGCGGAGCTGCCTGCGCTGCAAGGCAAACGGCTGGCATGCGACTGCGGCCCGGACGGTGTCTGCGAGGCAGATGCGCTGGCCGGGATGGTCTTTGATGCGACCCATCCGGATGCCGAGGCCAGCCTGCCCAGAGTCACTGGGCGGCGGCACAGGCAGGCCAGGGGCTCTGTGGTCAGGGCGGCGACCATCATGGGATCGCTCCGAGGCAGTGACGCCCTGAAGTCGATGTCACTCTGGTTTCCGCAGGAGGATGTAATTTTGGCCTTTCGCAAGCTCTACCCGGCAGAGTGGTTCCAGTCTTTTCAGTGGCCCATGTTGGAGGACCTGTTGAACAAGGAACCCTTTACATGCTACCTGGACTGGCGCCAGAGTCGTGGGATGGAGTGGGACGGACCCCTGGGGCCACCCTCTTCGTCCAATGCTAGTCGGAGGCGGCAGCGGTTGGCGGAGGGGAAGCAGCATGGAGCCTACAACCACAAGGCCTCCATTCCACCTCTGGTCGGATATGGGCTGGAGCCGGACGCCCATTTCGCCGCATCCCTGCAGTGGACCAACACGGCAACCCCGTTGGAAGTCCTTCCTACGTTGGACGACGACCTATGGTACGCGGCCAGCATGGTGATGGAGAATCACGAGAAGAGACGCCGCCAGGCGTCCATCGGGGCCATCAAGGAACTGAAGCGCAGGTGGGCACCGGTGTCCAAGCACCTCGTGGCCTTCCAGTCCGAAGCTATCCGAGGAGTTACCTCGAAACGCGATCTGGGTTTGCTGGGGCTCTTCGTCGTCCTCATGCAGTGGGGCGACTTCGCCCTCCCTCACGGCTTCATCAAAGGCCTTCCAGCAGTGGGCTATGCCCCGCATTACGGAGTCTTCCCCCACCAACCCGTCGAGGCGATCGCACACTCGGAGGTACTGGCTGGCTGGGAGGAGCACAACGCCGCTACTATCGCAGGAGTGCGACCGGGTTCCACGGACTCTTTCGTTCTGGAGCAGTCCACAAAGGACCACAAGGAGGGGTTTTGCACCCCCCCCATGAACCTGAGCCAGCTCAAGCGGTATGCCAAAGGAGACCCATACCGGCTTATACCTCGCTGTGTCATCACACAGGCATCTGGCAAGCAGCGTCTGATAGACGACGCAGCACGGGGCGGGCAGTCTGCGTCGTCCAGAGATGCCAACAAACTTGTTTTGTGTACGCCGCTCCGCCCAGCGCTCCACGTCCAAGCCGCGGCAGCCTGCCTTCAGGAGTGCACCTGGGAGCGGTTCGCGCAGCAGGGGCAGTGGACAGGAGCTGGGGATGATTGGCCGAATGCCTACCGCCACTGTCCCATGTCACGACAGGAGGCCCTGGCCTGCGTAGTAGTTTGGTACCACCAGGATTGGCAGGAGCCGGCCTTCCAGGTATACCACGCCCTCTTGTTCGGCCTTCCGTTGGCGGTCACCTCCTTCAACCGCTACTCCCGGATGGCGGAAGCTATGGGCAGGCGCTTTCTGGCAATCATGGTGTCCATGTATTTCGATGACAGTCACATTACAGACCGCGCAGTACACGGCCCATCAGCCCAGTGGAGTTTCGGCGCCCTCAACGACCTGCTGGGGACCCCGTTCGCTGAGGAGAAGCGCCAGGGAGCTGCGGATGTCGGGACCTTCTTGGGGCTTGATTTCGATCTCTCGGAGGTCCACACACATGGGCGCGCGCGGTTTTGGGTTCGAGAGCGACTCGAACAGAAGGTGCTCACCTTCATGCGTGACGCCAGGAGGAGCGGGAAGTTCACCCCGGGTCAAGCTGCGAAACTCTACGGCATGGTCAACTTCCTGGAGCATGGCCTCTTCGGGCGCATTGGCTTGGGCGAAATCCAGGCGTTGAAGGAGCACCAGTACGGGGGCTCCAGCAAGGCCAGCGCCAGCCTGCTGGAGGCTTTTGACGTGTTGGAGGCTGTCATCAGTATGCGCCCCAGGAGAGAGCTGATGGTCCTCCCCATGGATGTGCCGAGGGTGGTGGCCGCCTCGGACGCGGCCTTGGAGGCACCTCGTCAAGGATCCGGCGGATACCACTTGGTCTTCCAGGACGGCGGCGTGCAGATTCGGGAGGCCTTTGTAGCCATCATCCCCGCGCAGACCTACGATATGTGGGGACCAGGAGACCATAAAATAGCCCAGTTGGAGCTATTCATGGTGGTGCACGCCCTTACGGCGAGACCCGACCAATTCCGCGGGAGACGCGGAGTGTGGTTCATCGATAACATCGCCAGTCTTATGTGTTTGATCAGGGGCAGGAGTGACAACCCCGACTTGGCCAAGATGGCGACGTATATCCAGTGTTTGCTCTTTGCGTTGCGAGCCTCACTGTACTGGGAATACATTCCATCCAAATCCAATTGGGCTGACGCGATCAGCCGACTGGGACCCAGTGACCCATGGTACAGGGCCAACCACTTCAAGTTGAATTTCAGTCTTTTCCCTCCAGCTCTACTGAAGCTTCCGTACCGAGCAGTGATTACCTTTGCTGAGTTCCTGTGAGTGCATTGGGAGAGTTTGTGAAATAGGTGGTGAAAGTAAGTGCGTTGGGAGATGTATCCTGCTTGATGCAGGGCATCCAGAGCTTATCGGGGGTAAACCCGATGTGCCGAGGAAATCGGCGAATTGGCTGGGCCACAGCATGAGGAAATTCATGCTGTGGATACCAATGCAAATCCCACAGGAAAAGGTGGGTTGTCAGTCTATCAGACTCGTGTAGCATCGCTGGAGTGAAAATGCTGCGGTGCTGTTTATGTCAAACCTCCTTGGGAATGTAATCCTGTATCAGGTTGGAAGGCTTGGGTTTACAGGCTTCATTCTGCAAGGAGAGTATTGGATCATGCGGGGCCTTTTGGCTCAAGCATGATCCAAACTGGCTAAATTTTAACCCCACCCTATCCCGCCCTAGATCACCGGCCCCCCTAGTTGGGACGTCCGTGATCTTTGAAGAGCGCGCCGCGCTTGGGGAATGCCTGGGGGACCAGGCCCCCAGTCAGTCAGTTAAGCTCTGTGGTGGGAGATGTATCCTGCTTGATGCAGGGCATCCAGAGCTTATCGGGGGTAAACCCGATGTGCCGAGGAAATCGGCGAATTGGCTGGGCCACAGCATGAGGAAATTCATGCTGTGGATACCAATGCAAATCCCACAGGAAAAGGTGGGTTGTCAGTCTATCAGACTCGTGTAGCATCGCTGGAGTGAAAATGCTGCGGTGCTGTTTATGTCAAACCTCCTTGGGAATGTATCAACAAAACATTGTGACATGTGGAGGAGGAAATCAACCAAAGCAACGCTTTGCGTTTTGTGAACAAGCAGCTTTGAGAGCAGAGGTGACCAGTGTCAACATTGACATTGCCTCGATGCAAGCTTCACAACTGTCACTTCTTGGATGGGAACAACAGAAAGCCCGGCGCGGTCAAACATCGTGATTCGCAAGCGGCTTGCTTTTGCCACGGTGTTCCTCGCCTTGGCGTTTTCAATCGGATTCAGAGACCGGGGCACAAACGACCTTTCTGGGGATTGGTGCCATTGGCTGAGGATATGTCCCTGCAGCCAAGCTCTGGAAGCACCGGTAGCAGGGCTCCCGGGCACCCGCGAGGGAGGGTCATGTTGGACTCAGAAACGACATCCCTGAAGCTGGACTCCATGTTCATAGATATGGCATGCACATATTGTGTATTCTGCTGAGATATATATATATACATATTATATATATATTATTTATTTATGCTGTGTGTTGTGACACTGTGACACTTGAGAGTCTTTTCTGTGTTGTCAGATCCACAGGTCCCAACAGCGCAGAGAACTCAGCCAACTGCGAGGATAGCCTTTCGCAGGAGGCCGGTTCATCGGCCCGTGGTGAGAGTTGGAGTGATCACGACTGGACATACTGGACAGGAGGCTTGGCAGGAATCCAAAGGCTCAATATAGAAACCTCTTATATACAAAGGGGCCAGCAGGAAGCCGGGATTCTGTTTGGATTTTGCAACATGTTGAGTTCAGGAAAAGCGAATTGGACCCGCTGAGTTCTTGCATGCAAGCTTGACTGCCTTCGCCAGGAAATCAGTGAAGAGCACAGATGCGCATGCCCAGGCCTGAACTCTCTCAAAGCCTACAGTTTGGCACAGATTTTTGTGCAAAACACGGTCTAGGCGACATGGCAAAGATTCCGACCACTGACACGTTGGTGGGATTCTCAGTCAGTCTGGTGATCTAGCCTTGGGCTGCAAACTGTCCTTGAGGCCTGCGTGGCAGGCGATCGCGAACCTGCCGCCAAGGATACGAAAGTGAGTGACGGGGACAAGAGAGAAGGCAGAGCTCCAATGCACAAAATTGTGGTGCCTCGGCGGTCGCGCTTACGCAGTCCGTCACCAGAAAACCTGTCTCCGATCTTGGGGAGGCGATCGCACATCTCCTCGCGATTGTTCAGCCCCGTTTCCCTATCAGCACCGCGAGTAAGCTTGGGCGCACGAAACCGCCAGCCTCAGGCTGCGGCATGTGATGCTCCTTGTCCCCGGACAGGTAGCCCTTCCCGCCAGTTTTCCGGCACTTGCACCAGGAACCTGCGCTACTACTCTGATCCTAAGGGAAGTCGCACTCCTCCACCCCCGGAGTCCGGGTACATGCGAGAGACGCGCGTATCGGTGGCCACCACCGGCAAAGGGCTTAATGGCAAAATGCCACGGCCAGCAAGGCATAGCATTGGCTCCTGCACAGGCACAAAGTCCCCATATGCAACCCCGCCCATGCCTGGTGCAACACCTCCTGCACCCTGCACGACACCGACCGTGCCCCGCTCTGCCAGCCAGAGCAGACTCGGCGAAAGTCGTCGCCAATCCAAGGGAGAGCAAAGCCCAGCCTTCCGGGAGCCCAAAGATGAAGCAGGGCGCACCCAGCTTATGCATGCAGCACGGGCAGGCGACCTTAATAAAACCCTTGCCCTTTTGCAATGTGGCTCTTTTGTGGATGCCATCGACTCCTGCAAATGCACTGCACTCATGTACGCAGCTACCTATGGACACGCAGCAGTTGCCCAATGCCTGGCAGACCATGCAGCAAATGTCAATGCACAGAGCCACGACAAGTGGACTCCGTTGATTGCTGCCGCCTACAACGGCCATATGGCCGTGACGGAACTTTTGCTTTCTAGAGGAGCAAGCATCGACAGCGCTGACGAACGGGGATGGACTGCTCTGATGCACGTGGCTTTCAACGGCAAGCTTGACATCATGAAGTGTTTGCTGGACCATGGTGCACGTGCCGACCAAGAGGACAAGGAGGCTCGCACTGCTTTGGTCTATGCAGCTTTTAGCGGCCACTTGGAGGGTGTGAAGCTCCTGCTGGCCAATGCGACCCAGAGCAGCAAGAACACGTCCTGGCGAATGGATGGAACTCAAGATGGAACTGCGGGATCATTTGCTGAGTTGGCAAAGCTGTTGAACATATGTTTTGGTGAGACCCCATGCTTGCAAGAATTATTTGCAAGGATCAACCTTGGTCCCCCAAGGGAAATGGCAGATTCTTCCATTTGCCTCCAATCAAAAGTGTTCATGATCGAGGCCTGGCGCTGATGTTCGCGGCCGACAAGGGCCACAGCGACATCGTGCGTGCCTTCCTGGAGGCTTCTGTGGCATCCGCCCAAACCTTGCGCTCCGCGCTGGAGCTGGCAAATTTTCATGGCCATCACGAGGTTGTGCTGGGCTCAGCGCAGAATGGGGGTATCCCAACATTTCCGGAATGACAGACCAACTTGCCTGGTTGACATCATTCGCAGTGCTAAATGCAAGCAAGAGACAATGTGGCACGACACAATGTGAGTCGTATGGCTCATGCCCTGTGGGACAGCGGCATTTTGCGGTTCCGCCTGAGGCAAAGCTCATCCTTCTGAGTCGAAAGATTTGACGGACGAGGTGCCTTGTACGCTCGGGATGCGGCTGAGGTTCAGAGGCATGACATGCTGAGACCCCGCGCTTGAATATGACAGGTTGGGGCACATGAACGCAAGACTCAAAGATGAATGTGTCCAAGGAGTAAGAAACATGTGAGCAACCGACCAACTAATCAATTGAATGGGTTGATACGGTCAGAGCATGGCGAGAAAACTACCCCGAGCCAGGAGGGTGAGAGAGGCTGATAGGTCTCACGCAAAGTGCACTAGCCGATGTGAGGGCAATGCAGTCGGCGAGAACTTGAGCCATTCACTAAATTCCATTGCTCAATGGGACGAATATGTTTTGTATGCACGACTGCCTCTTGCATAAAGTCCAGATGCATCTAGAATGGATGCCGCTCACGCACTTTTTCAAAAGTGCAAGCGAGGGGACAAGTCTGCTGGGAACCGTCAGACTTGGACGGCTTCGGAAATATGCGAAGCACATCACCAAAATAATTATAATTTTGTCTCTCGATTCCAATGTTTGTACTGGGTTGAGTGGTTGAGCTGGTTTGGACTGGGTTCAACTTTTGTTTGGGATTGGTTTAGAGTGAGTTGGGTGCTTGGGGTTTGGAGGATTTAAGAATTGAAAAGGAATGATTTGTTTGGAATAAATTCCCTACGATGAGATTCATATGGATAATAAACAAATAATTGATAGAATTGAATAGAATAATTTTAACATAATTCATAATTGAATGAATATGGTTTGATAAAATTAGTTAAAATAATATATAATATTATAATTATAATAATGAAATATTTGGCTTGAATTATGAAAGAGAAGACCTTTTGATTTTGGAGATGATGGTTTTGTATAAGGGAGGCTTGTTTATAGGAAGCTGGAGTGATATATTTATAGATCAAAATTGGTTGGGGAATATATAATTTGAATGTTGTTGTAGAATACATCGTTGTAAAAATGATTTTTAGTTAGTAGATATATTTTTTGTGGGAATTTCGAATTTTTTGGAATATATATTTTTTTAAATTATTAAAATTTTGTTTAAGGCGATTGATTTTTTTTACCAATTTTCGGATATGAGATTAGTGGGCTTCTCGTGTATAATTAGCTATCAATTTTGGAATTGAAAGGTCGCGATTTTCGAGTAGGGCTATGGAAATTTATTTTATATATTATTTTTATATTAAATAATTTTGATTTTCGAGATTGCTGAAATTTAATTTATGAATTATTTTCATATTGAAAAATTGTGATATTCGAGATGGGGTTGCGAAAATATATTTCACTTACTATTTTTGTGATGAATATTTTGTATAGGATTTATTTAGGATGATATTATAATTTAAAAAAATATTATAATATTTCCGAAATATATATGTATATTTAATTTAATTTAATAATTATATTTTATATTTATTAAAAATATGAAATAATTTAATAATTCAAACTATTAAATTATTTATTATGAAATAATATTATTCTAAAAATAAGGAAACAAATATGAATTCAAAATTATATATATAATTGGAAAATTATTTTTATATATAGAATTAATATAAATAGAAATTTCGAGTATCTCGATTTGAAAATTTGGGTTATTTTGTTTATTATATTATAGATCATTAATCTAGAACCAATTGCGCGTAGGTTCAATTAACTTGCAAAAAATAGATTTCCAAAAATATTATATATTTAATATTATTAAAATATATGTAATATATATATATATATATGTATTCTTTAAAATCATCAAGAAATATGTTTTTATATTTATATATGGTTTTCCGATTTATATTTTTAAAATTATATATTCAATAAAATTAATAATGAGATTTTAATTTAAATATATTTAAATATTAATGATCATTTCCCACAATATATAAATATAAATAAATAACACAATGAAATAATAATAAATAATTGTCTATTTAAATAATAATATATCTTTATATAATAATAGAATTATATATTATTAAATTAGATAATAATATATAAATCTATTCTATAAATCAATATAATATAATATATATATAGAATATATATCTATATATATATATTTATTATTAAACAAAAAACCAATATATTTAATATAATAATTGTATATAAATATCGAATAATATAATTTATTTTCCGAATATATTATCGTAAAATTATTAAAACATTATATCGATTTTTAGGGCTTTCATTATATTCTATAATTTAAGAATTTATATGGAAATACTTTAAAATACATAATTATTCCTAAAATTTGAAACTAAAACGAAACCCACAAACTGCAGGGGCCCGTCGTTTTAAAAAAAACATGATATTTAATTAGGCGCCCAATGAATTCCAACCATTATCTGTTTTTGAAGGCTGTCCTACAAAATAGGAGGTCTCGCTTCTAACACATACAATAAATAATTTAGATTTCGTGGTCCAGTAACTAGCTCCTATGAGACCGAAAGCCATTAAACACCTCTCATAACGTATATTCGTGCCAACAACTACTACACTATAAAGGGTGCTGTGTAATTCTTTTAAGTGTCGTAATTCCAGCCGGAGAAGCGCAATGTCACCGCGAAAATTTGCAAAATAACTAAAACACGAAAAACACGAAAATTGGGGAGCAAGGGGGAAATGCAAAGAAATGCAAGGAAATGAGGGGAGGCAATTGGAAATCGACATAACAGGAAAGCAGCGGCAACAAAGGGGATCCGAAAGGGATATACAAAGCACAGAGAAAAAAACCAGAGGAGCGCAGGAAGAATGAAAGGGAAACGCAGCACAAAGACACCAATCGGCACGACGGCAGAGCGAGACACAGAGAGTGAGAAAGAGAGAAGGAGAGAGAAAATGAGAGAGAGAGAAAGAAACAAAGACAGAGATAGACCCAGAATCAGAGAAACAAAAAAAAGACAGACAAAAAGAGAAGCAAAAAAAGAGGGAGAGAGAGAAAGAGAGAAAGAAAGAGAGAGAGAGAAAGAGAGAGAAAGAGAGAGAAAGAGAGAGAGAGAGAGAAAGAAAGAGAGAGAGAGAAAGAGAGAGAAAGAGAGAGAGAGAGAGAGAAAGAAAGAGAAAGAGAGAGAAAAAGAGAGAGAGAAAGAAAGAGAAAGAGAGAGAAAAAGAGAGAGAGAAAGAAAGAGAAAGAGAGAGAGAGAAAAAGAAAGAAAGAAAGAAAGAAAGAAAGAAAGAAAGAAAGAAAGAAAGAAAGAAAGAAAGAAAGAGAGAGAGAGAGAGAGAAAGAGAAAGAGAGAGAAAAAGAGAGAGAGAAAGAAAGAGAAAAAGAGAGAGAGAAAGAAAGAGAAAGAGAGAGAGAAAAAAAGAAAGAAAGAAAGAAAGAAAGAAAGAGAGAGAGAGAGAGAGAGAGAAAAAAAATAGACTAAAAAAAAGAGACACAAACAAACAAACATACAAAAAGAAATAGAGAGAGAGAGAAAAAGAGAGAGAGACAAAGAGTAAGAGAGTAGTTTTTTTCTGTAGAGGGGCGTGGACAAAGAGACAAAAAGATAGAAAGAGAAACAAAAAGAGCGAAGAAAATACGTGGGAGATAATGGCAAGAAGAAGAAGGAGAAAAGGGAGAACACAATGTCGGCGGATTGAGTCGGAGGCTGTAAAATCTATATTATATGCCTTATTTATTTTGCCTAGTTTGTCTTATCTTATCATGTTATCGTATGCTATTTTAACTTATTTTTTCTTAAATTATGATATCTTATTATTATGTCTTATCTTATCTTATGTTATACCGATCGATCTATTTGTCGATATATTTACCTGGCTCTCTAGTTTATCCTGTGTTATTCTGCCCTCATCTTGTCTTATCCCATCTAATCCTATTTTCCTATCGTATCTTATTTTATCTTATCGTATTTTATTTTAGCATGCAATAGCCTTACTATCCTCTCTTGTCTTGTTTTATCCTATCTTGTCCTCTCTTATCCTATCTAATCCTATGTTATCAGGGACATGTTTTTTGCGACTTTCTTATCTTCGATAACACCGATTCACGCACAAGGCCACATTTTTTACGACTTTCTCTTCCCCTACTACATACGCGCGCAATTTTTCTCGCGGGCTTATTCTTTCTTTTGTATCTTGTTTCAAAGAGCTAGTTTTCAATTAGTTGCTGCAACACGGAAATTCCTTTTTAATTTTCTTTAATAATATGTTATCTTACCCCCCATGTTTGGTTTTAATCTATCCTACCTTACCCCCCCATGTTAGCCTATCTTACCATGATATACCCTATAATAGCCTGTTATAGAGACTCTTATCCTATATATATATATATCCATCTCTCTACAATATATATATATAAACATATATGTCCATATATGTATATATATATATATATATCATTATCTGTTAGCAATTCTTTTCCTATTATATCCTGCCTTATGTCTTTTTTTCTCCCGACTTATCCTAGCATATTCTACCTTATCCTATGTATCTAGGTATCTATCTATATAGTTATCTATTTTATTTTATGTATCTATTTATATATATATATATCAATTTATTCATATATTCGTTCGTCCATTTATCGGTCTATTGTTCTATTTACCTAGACACCTACCTATTTATCCTATCTATCCTATCTATCATATCTGTTTTATCTTTCCTATTTGTCCTATCTGTCGCCTTGCATTTATCTCCCTATCTTGTTCCATCTTATTTGCCTGATCTATCTTATGTGCCTTATTTACCTTGATTATCATACCTACCATATCTATTTTATCTACCTTATCTTACTTGAACCTATGTCATTCTATCTTATCCTGTCTTATCCTATCTTATCCCATGGTATCCTATCTTACCATACTATCTATTTATCGATTTATCTATCTATCTATCCAGTCCAATCTAATCCAATGTATTTTATTTATCTATCTACCTATCTTATTTCTATGATCGTTGGCGCTCAAAGCACAATACTATTAAGTATACTAACAACGGAAACTTGTAGCGAACACTTGCAAACATTGCGAAAACCCGAAAACCGCAAAAACCCGAAAACCATGAAAATTATGAAAATCGTAAAACCGCGAAAAAAAATTGCGAAAATTGCGAAAACAAGAAAATCACGAAAAACCGCGAACACCCCTAAAATGCGAAAACCAGAAAACACGAAAACTGCGAACACCCGAACATCGTGCAAATCCTGCAAACGCAAAAACCGCAAAACGCAAGCATGGGAGAACGGTGAAAAGGCGCAAGCTTCAAGAAAAAAGCGAAAACCACGAAAGCTAGCAACGGAGCTTTTGTATTTTTCTCGTTTTTCTCGGTTTCTCGATTTTCTCGGTTTTCCGATTTTCGCGGTTTTCTGATTTTCTCGATATTCTCGGTTTTCTCGGTTTCCTCGTTTTTCTCGGCTTTCTCGTTTTTTGAATTTTCTTGTGTTTATTACGGAAACCGCGCAGAACAATATCGCCAAGTAAGGGTGCAAAACTAATAATCACTAACGTTTCTTTCAAGGAATTCTTAACGCGCTAAAGCTCGAACTACTACTTTCATAAATATAAATCTTTTGCTATAACATCGGGCATACAACACTCCCAGAAGCATCAATCAAATATCTAAAGAATATCGATCAAGCTATATTATTCGAAAATACTTAATTTCCCAAATTTATATTATTTAAATCTATGTATATTTATATTATTCCCCAACAATATTAAACAACCATAAACCCCTACACAAATTACGAGCAATCTATAAATAACAAATTCCTATGTGTGTAAAACGAATCTGTGTATTATTTATAAACAAATTCCATCAGAACAATTTATTAAAATTATTTATCATAAACTATCATAATATCAAATTTATCTATTATTTCTTATAAATTCCAACCAAAATTAACCAACCCAAATTTAATACATACTTCCACAATCCACTCTACTATAGTTTCAACCAAATTACAAAGGCCAAACAACATTTTACAACAAATACTATAATATTATATTTTTTAAATATGTATTATAAAATAATATTTTAAAATAAATATTTATCGATTTTCAAAATTTTAATAAATTTAAGGAATTATAAATTATATAATATTATCGAATTTCATATAATTATAATTATTATAATATAACATAATCAATATAAATTCAATTAAGTAGCGTTTTTTAATCAAATAAAAAGATTTATACAAAAAGGGAACTATCTATATTTTGCGGAGGCAATCCTAATTGGGGGCGTAGGCTCGCGTAAGCTTCAATGCATAAGCTATTGTGTCACCCCCCTTATATAGGCTTTTAGCATAAGCATTTTTAAACAAATCATAACTCAATATTATTTACCAAGTATAAATAAATTTGTTTCTTTTATTTTCCTTCTATTTGTTCTAGTGTCTTCGCATAAACTCCGCATAAGTCCCATATAAGCATTCATATAAATTTTCAAAGCATTTTAAGTATATAAATCTTTTCTAGCAACCAAATCCTTAAACAAATATAGGCTTCTCACTTATATTACTTAAAACCGGAGCTACCAAAACTGAAAAGTTACGATTTTCCAACTAAAACTAACACAATACATTTCAACACTCAAACTCAATTTTTGCCCGCGTAAACATTCGCATAAGCCGCTAGAAATTGACTTATGCTCGCGTAAACACCCCTCGCAAGCCGTATAGGTTTACATAGGCCTTTGTATAAGTATACAAGTAATATATAAACCTCGAACCACGAAAACAAAACACTACTCAGCTCTATAATTCATTCAAAATAAACAATAAACCACAATTATATATTATTTAAAATCAATATAATAAAATGAACATATAATTTATTAATATATTTGCTCTTAAATTCTATATTGTTTGACAACTCTTTCATTACGTATGTTCTACGTCCGGGCGCTAGTCGCGTCGCGCGACGGCCTGTCGAACTCATGCCGATCAAAGATGTGAAAGGGACCACAAACAACCAGGTAGCAATAAATTGCATGCCTCGAAACCCTTCCGGAACCTGTAAATGCTATTTGGGGGACAGACCCCATAGCTGTTAGCTGTTAGGGAAGATTCTTTTTCTGAAGACAACCTTTTGTGGGAGGGCCTCCTTTGTCAGTGAAATGTTCTTGCGGGCTCTCGGTAGGGAGTTATAGAGAGATAAATACAGTAGGATTTCCGAAAAAGCAAAACTTGGGTAGGGCTGCATCTAACCCAAATCCCCTTTTTGAGACAAGCTCGTTGGAAACATGTGCGGGACCCACCAACGTTTTTTGTTTCTGGCGCAACCTCCCTTTGACAATCTTTAACACGTACAAATGCTTCCAAACCGCAAACAACACTTACAAGGACAATTCGCAACCAGCAAAACATGCAAAAAAAAAAGATACGCCGCCCTGAGTGAAAATTTAACAAAAGGACATAGGCACGTACATAATCCGTCCAAACAAACAATTTCAAGACTCCCCCTAAAAAAATGCAAAACCAGGGGATGGCCACATAAAACAACAGCATATGGCAAATTAACGCTTTCTGCGGTACTAAAATACGAGTTCCAGATCCATAAATGACGTTAAAAGGCGTTCCCTTTGCCCACGCGCAAAACGTTGCAACCCAAAGCAATGTTGCCCATAACGATGAAATGCAATGGCTGATCCTTTCAGATGGAAATGTGTGTCAGGTTCATGAAAAGGTTTGTTCACAGGGCAACCAAGAAGAAGGGAATAGTGGCATGTTGTCAATGAAGGAACCCTCAAAATCAGCCCCAGTCTTCCAATTGAATTCCGTTTCAAAGCCACCACAAACACAAAAGGGCACCCCGCCTCTTTAAACATTATACCGAGCCTCCAAAAAGGACCATACTTCAAACAAGCGAGCCGCCGCCAAAATTCTTATGAGCCAAACAAGAATATCTTAAAACCCTTCGCTGCAAAAAGACGCCATCGTTTTCCACCCCAATAAAATATATATATATATATATATATACACACATCTATATATACATATATACACACTAATATATTTAATATTATATATGCATATATACATATCCCGTACACAACCCCCGTCATGAGTAGAGAGATGCCAAAAACTCAGGGACCCAACCAAGTTCTTTTCCCAAAAACGCAAGTCGCTCTCCTTGCCTCGTGGAGCCAGTCAACCAGCTCCGCCCGGTTGAGGTGCCGTGGCACCTGAACAGGCATTTCAGCAAACATGAATTCCTAGGACTCTACCACAAATGTCGTCGTCAAGCTTCCTTCTGCGGGCCGGAAGCCTTGCCACGATTGTCTAAATTCCCAAATGGCCGCCCCTACCCGCAAGTGGCAAGAACATGGATCGTGTTGCGGGTTTGTCTCCAAATGAGTCATGATCAAGGCCTTGTGCCCAAGTCTTGTAAATCGCCGTGCTCATCTATGGTTAGAACTGTCCCTCGCTGGCTCAAATGAGGGAGCCTGCTTTGCCTTTTAAATCAACGCTGACCTAGCACACTGAAAGCGACGCCAGTCAAAGTCGGTTGGTGAGATAAGCCCCAAAACGCGCCACAGTTTGCGAAAGGCAGCTCTGAGCTTGGGATACATGTTAAAATCATGCGCTGGGTACCCACCTAGTTGTCCAACGCATCTTTGGCGGACTAGCCACACCCCGCCTCTGCCGGCACCGCCGCTTGCTTTGGCGCCGCTTCGTCGTCGCCAACCTGACGTGGCCGGCAAAAGATCTGAGTGAAAGGGGTCTGGGCCGTCAACTCACTTCTGGAGATGGGCCTCAAAAACAAAACAAACTGTCTGCCATTATGATCCGGACCCAGAAAGTGACTCACGTCCAGGAACTCAGGGAATGAGGAGAAGGACCTTCCGTTTTGGAAAATACAACAACCTGCAAGGGCTCGGTCGAGGACATCTCACAGATTGACGCGGATGTCCTAAAACCATCATTTTGTAGAGGACTCAGGCGGCCTGCCCTCATGGGGAATCATCTCGTTGTTGCTTTCCCAGAAACATGGACCTTCCAAAATGGCGATTATTTATGGTTTCCTGTTTCACCAACCTGAAAGCGTACCCTCAAACAACACGCACACACACACACACCCACACACGCGCCCCTCGCAATTATCTACATCTAAACGGCAGGGAGGTTCATACTTGGGACAACAAGCACAACACAACAAACACGCAAGACACCGATGATGCATGACAGACTTCCAACCCTCCAAAGCCTTGCAAACCCCAGAAACAATCTTGAAGCAAAAGGAAGAGCAAGGAAAACCAAGAAAAGCCAGTAAGATACACAGAACCCCAAACTCCGCGGTGCCTTCAAATGAGTGATCACTCTTCGGCCAAGAAGTACCGGCTCCTCCCTCTCCTGAAGCGTGAGGCTTCGTGGGCATGCTTCTGGCAGCTGCAAATGCCACGCATGTCACTCCATATTTGGCGTTTCGAACTCTTGCGAATACATTATCGTCTCCCACCTGCCACTCGTGGGCGGTGTCTGCTAGTTGCTTTCCAGCACGAAGCGGAGCCCAAAAAAGGAAACGGACACTTCTTGGTCAATCACAGCTGCTCGCTGTATTTGGTGAAGATGACAGGTCCGAAGTGAGTCATGGTCAGGGCGTCCCCAGTAGGAATCCATACAAGCGGGTTATCTACCTTCTTACTGTTGATGACCATCCGGCCAACACAACAAGGAAAATGGAGCGCCGTTTCGAGAGTCCCCCGAAAACTGGGTTGTGCAAAATGGTGGGTTGGCCAGTCCTAATCCAGAATCCCTAGAGGGAAACCACTACAACAGGCACTCACTCATACTGGAACCCCAAGTAAGGATCTTGCGGATTGCTCCGTCCAAAAAAAAGACTCGAAAGACCGGAGATCTTTCAAATCCTTCCGGTTGGCATCAAATTGCGAAAGTCCACGACTCCCAGGCCGTTCTCGAGGAAAAAACAACACAGTGCGAATGACAGCGTCTTTAAAATGGGGGTTGCCCTTAATTGTGGCGTTCCCTGTGGATTCCCTTTCAAGGCCCCGTGCGAAAACATCGCGCCTTGCCGATTTCAAATGCCTCGGCTTGGCATGCCCGGTGTCACGCCAGAGATTTTAGCCTAGACAACAAGCTCAGAGTCTGGAAACACGGGCGTCGTTTGAAATAAAAGGACAGCCAAAATCCTTTGAAATCCTTTGGGCATCTTTGGGGAGGCAAACGCACGTATATGTTACCCTAAACACACCACCCTAGCTGACCCTAAACCCACCGTAAACCAAACCTCAACCCGAATCCAACCCCACCACCCCGCCCCCCCCCCCCCCCGCCCCGCCCAGCCCCACACCACAAGGGGGGGCTTACCCTTGAAAGGGGGGGGCTCCACGGCCTGGAACATTCGGACTAAGTGGTGCGACGAGATTGGACACACACAGGGTTCCGCCGCATCTCTGCAAACGAAGATGGGACCGCTCACTGGGCTGTTCAAAATGAAGGATTGGCTGGTGAAACCAACTTCATCTATAATCCCTAGGAAAATGACTGGACAGGGGACTTGCGTAACGCAAAACAAGGACTAAGGATTGATTTTGAACAAGCCAGGCTCAACAAAGGAAGACTAGACTAGAGCGCGTAAAAGACATTACCATCCATCGCGGCTGCCACCCATGCGTCAGCTGACCAACGGCTTCAATGCTGAAGCTGAGTATGGGTTTGCCTCCTGAGGGGAATCCCTAAAAATAGTGGTTTCCACGTGGCTTCCCAAGTAGCCCGAAAAAGGGCTCCCTCAAACAAAGACACGCCCCTGTGCACTTGAACTTACTGTTGCGAATCTGTGGTCGAACCAACAAGCGCATGGCCACTGAAATCGACAGAGATCAGGGCTATCACTGACCCCCTCTGAATGAGGAAGCCAAGCGGCGGCACCGGTCGGGGGCAGTCGGCTCATCCACGAGCCCTGCGCGCGGGAAGTACTACAGAAGCCTAGGGCAAGTTCATATATATATATATTTACATGTAATGGAACTGGGGGGGTGTTTTGTTTGGAATCCCCAGTTGCTCACTCACTTGCTTGGTCTGGCTGAATGGTTGAATTAAATTACCAATTTCTGAATGGCACATCGGCCACCCTCAATGGCTGAATGGAACTCGTCCCACTGATTTGTGATGAACTCTTCGTCCAGACCGGGCCTCCCCCGGCGCCTGCCTCGGCAAGCGGAAACAACACACTGGGAAGGCTGTGCGCAGAAACATCCGGGGATATGTCAAACATGGGATTCGGCCGCCCGGTTGTTGGCATTTAAAGGGACACCAAAAGGAAACCAACCAGTTTCGGGGAGATAGGTTTCAACCATCAATTTTGGTGCATCCCAGGCTTTCGAAGCAACAGACATTGGGAAGATGGCCTTCTTCCAAAACCCCCATCCACTTGCTCCCTCTCTCCCTCTCTCCCGCTCTCCCTCCCTCCCTCCCTCCCTCCCTCCCTCCCTCCCTCCCTCCCTCCCTCCCCCCCTCCCTCCCTCCCTCCCTCCCTCCCTCACTCACTCACTCACTCACTCACTCACTCACTCACTCACCTCACTCCCTCCCTCACTCTCTCGCACTTTCGCGCTCGCTCTCTATCTTTCTCTCTCGTCTTTCTTTTTGTCTTGCTGCCTTTCTGCCTTCTTCCTTTCTTCACTTCCTTTCTTCACTTCCTTTCTTTCTTCATTCCTCCCTCCCTCCCTCACTTCCTTTCTTCCTTTCTTCCTCCCTTCTTTCTTCCTTTCTTTCTTCCTTTCTTCCGTTCTTCCTTTCTGCCTTTCTTCCTTTCTTCCTTCCTTTCTTTCCTCCCTCCTTTCTTCCTTCCTTTCTTTCCTCCCTTCTTTCTTCCTTTCTTTCTTCCTTTCTTCCGTTCTTTCTTCCTTTCTTCCTTTCTTCCTTTCTTCCTTTCTTCCTTTCTTCCTTTCTTCCTTTCTTCCTTCCCTTCTTCCTTTCTCGATTTCTTCGGAGCTGCTGTGGGAATTGCTACAAGCTACTTTCTTGTTGATGCCTTGTTTAATGGCAAATAACAGTTGCTTAATGCCACATGGTTTTGTTGATGCATATTACGTAGCCCACTCTTCTTTTGCGGGTTCCCTGCAATGAGACAAGCCCACATATTTTTGTGAGTGGCTCCCTTGGTCAAGACTTGGGCTTGGTCATTTAGGCGGTCATCAGCATTATTTGGCCGAGTGTCTGCGGAAATGGCAGCAGTGGGCTTGCATCAGAAGAAGACCTGAGCCCGAGTCATGTGCAAGGCCCAAGAGGACGCGAAGTCTGCAAGCGGCTAAGCCGGAAGCCCGCACGGCAGCGAAGCCGCCGTCTTGGCATGCTTCGACATGGCCTCAAAGGGTAAGGAAGTTAAACCCATCCATCGTACAGCTGTTGATATTTCCGCACTGAATCTTGGGGAACCCACAACATGCCTGGTTCCTTTTGGTTTCCCTTTGTATAAGGCAAAAAAGGACGACACACCCATCTCGTTGCTGCCTGGGATCCGGACCGTCTTTCGGCCGCCCTTCATACAGCTCCGTTTTGGAGCCGGAACCGCCCATTCTGCCTGGCAGGCTCCCGCAAAACAAACCACACACGGGTTATTCAGTTATTGGTGTGGTGGATACTTTTATTGCCTTTATTTGGAGCTCCGAGATCATGACCCGCAAAAGGGGGTTTCACCACGGTTGCCAAACGGATGTCTTGGCTCCAGGAAACCAAAAGAAAACCACTGGCTTTGAATCACGCGGCGAGTAGCACATTCGTTTCCAGCCCCCCAGCCCCCGCCCAAGGCAGTCTGTTGAACTGCACCACGACGGGGAAATCATTGTACTCATCCCACACGGTTGGGCCGCCTCATACCGAGCAAGCAACTGCATGTTGACATGCCAAGTTGTTGCTCACGAAAACTTATGTTTTCTCACCTTAGGTTGAGGGCAAAGCCCTACCGCCTACTGGGTAGTCTGTTATCCATTCCCGGCCTTCGTGCCCGGGTGAGTCAGAATCAAAACCTGCTACTATCAAACATATCCAACATAATGCAATCATTCTCAAGAGCTGCCGCGCTTGTTTCGGGCTGGGATTTACCCTTCGTGTACCCGCGTTTTGATCCTGGCTCATGTATGTTTTAAGATGGTGTCTACTACCCCCAACCACCTCCAGGGAAATTGGAATATAGCCCCTGGGTCCCAAAAGTGGTTGGGGGGGAGTGTCTGTTCTTAGGGTGCCGATTTCTGGGTCCTCTTGGAGGGAAACCAATCGCAAACCATGAAGTTGATGGGCTACATATCCTACTTTGAGACAAGCCGCGTTGCGCATGTTGTATGGGTCTTGTGGATCCCAGAAATTCAGCTTCCCTCTGATTGGTGGTTTGGAGTGGTGGTTTGGATTTCCCATTTAATTACCCCAAAGAATCAGGGGTTCAACCCTCCCAGTAACCTGAGAATTCACTGTGAGAAAAGAGAAACACACATCTGGCCAAGGGGCGTCCAGTGAGCATAAACTGCTCTATTCTCCTTCGTTCGCAATGCACTTCCAGGGCTTGTTCCTGAGAATCCAACGATGAGGCACCGCGCAAGCCGCAGAAACTTGGGCCAAAAAAGCCCTACGAAACAGCCCAAAGGCCCAAATGAGCCGCTCACGGAAGTAGTCGGAAATGGTCTCAACATAAATGCAACTCCCAAAATGGCAACAGATTCTGTTTGGCTTCAGGAGTCACAATCCAACGGATGGACAATCGAAGAAGTGGCGAGATGGATTGCCAAAACTTAGGAAAAGGAAATCCTCCAGCCTTTCCTTTGCTTCCCTCAAATTTCTTTGTCTGGGAACATCTCAGTGGCCCGCCTGATAAGACACACCAGCACCTGCACAAGAGACTGGTACGCAAACGAAAGAACATGTGATAGAGGATCGCAAAAAGATGGAACGTTTCCCCTCAACACCGTTTTGTTGCGCCATGTGTCTGACTCAAAGACAGTCGGCCTCTGTCGGCGCAGAGAGAGTCGTCAGGCCTGCAGCGTGTCAAAACAAGAGTTGAGACGAGCAGCGAACCACTCGTGCGGGGAACAGCACCAAACCCGTGGTTTCCCTGTGGTTTCCTTTTAAAGCCACCCAAAAAAGGGCACCGTCAACCGTCAAAAAGAACGCACACCTATGCTTTGCGTTGCCGGCTTTTGAGGCCCTAACGCATAGCCCAAGCCCTCTGGCTCGGGCAGCAAATACTTGGCCGCCTCGGTGTGCACTGTGCTCCGCTGCTTGTTCCCCTGTTTTGAAGTAGTTTCTGCAAGACTGGGCTCACTTGGAGGCGTTTCCGAGGTATGAGAAACTCCTCGAAATGCTTTATGCTGGGAATGTCTGACACCCAATGCGTGCAAGCAGCAAACACCAGGCAGCCATGCAGGCAAGGTTGCAGGCAGCTCGACATGCCTCTTTGGAAGCTTTGGCTGCAAAGCTACCAAAGTGTCCAACGATGTCATGTTGCGGTTCTCGCTGGTGTCTTGCGTGATGCGCTAGACGGCTTCTGACCGTGTCTGCTGAATCCTTCTGCGTGTCCAGTGCGCTCGATGCAAAACAGCAACCCGGCCATATCCATCGGTCACTTCAGCGGTTTGCGTAGCGGCCACAGAATGCTCTCCAATCTTGGTACCATTCATTCGACCATCCCACATTTTAACAGGCTGTGTTTTTTTTCTTCCTCCGGCACCTCTGTTTCCGTGTGCATCAGCGCAAACCCCGCGGTTGCAAATTACAGGTGGGAAACATATCCGCAAAAAATGATATACATGTAGAACATTAACCTCAACAAATCTAAACACGGCAAAGTATTGAGTTGCAATACATATAACATATATATGTATTTAATATATATATATATTATTATAGTGAGAGAGGGTCGTGTAGATGACGCCACCCAGGTAAATGCACACCACACACGATTCAAAAATATGGCAATATGCCAAAAGCCAAGTAGCATAACTCAAACAAATTTCAATCATCTGTCAAATAAAGGGATGCATATATGTACATGGAGGTTGTACAAGATTATTTTGCTTGGGGACCCCCCAATCGCCGGCCAATCGCGATCCCACAAAATCCAATCGCGGAGCAACGTTGGGCATCCTGTTTCGAGTTTGTCTTATCTCATGGAAACAGGAAGGAAGTGACGCAGCTCGGATGAGCAGGGACTCACTGGTGGAACTCGTCCAATCGCCGTCCCATCGCGGTCCAATCGCTGTCCCATCGCGGAATTCGGCGGTGAAACTTCGGTTTGCAGCTTCCAGCCCTTGCCAGAAAGCAGATTTGGAAAGCAGTGTCTGGCCCTGAACGAAATCAACATTCAGGACTCCAAAAGAAACTTTTGCTGGAGCCCGCGCTGTCAAAATCAGCGAGACGTGCGTCGGCACCACGCAACGTCTAAACTCGCAATAAATTTGTCGCGCTTTCGCGGTCCAATCGCCGGCCTTTAGCGGCTCTTGTTTTACCAATCGCGTTGCGCTGTTCATAAATTTTAGACATGCTATTGCGGACGGCCCCCGCATACACAATATGTACATACACAATGGCACTGACAAAAGGGGTTGACGCCAAACGCTGAAGCACATTCTCAAGACACACCCCCACACGGTTGAAGTCCGTCTTAAAGGGGAATTTGTCTTTGGGAATTTGTCCTCGGAACTCGTCCTCAGGGGAGAATTCATCCTCGGGGAACTCGTCTTCGGCATTTGTCTTCTGGAGTCTTCGGGAAATTCGTCTTCGGCAGAGATTCCTCGGGGCGTCTTCGTGGGGGGTTGAAGTCTTCACGGTTTCGGCCATCCTGACGGCCCAAGACCTTATCCGGGCAATGTGTCTTTGGAATGTGTCTTTAGCGTCTGGCGCAAAAGCCCTAACCCCCCCCCCCCCTGCGGAGCACGGTCAAAATTATGGTGTAGAATGTGTTGGAAAATGCTTTGTACATGTTGTGTAAAATTATGAATAACGTTACATGCTTACAATTACGTTTATTCATGTAACGTGTATATGTTTATATGTTTACTGGTTATTATCATGTTTGTCATCATTCTTCTTAATATTCTTACAGAACCCCGTCTCCAAAAAACAATGCTGTGAGTGGTGGTGATTTGGGGGGAATCCTTGTCTCAGAGAGAAAGGTAAAAACAACAAAGAGCCCAGGCTGGGCATCCTGCGGAGGCGGTTGTTCCAGAAGCGGGTGGGCTCTTCGACCCAGAAACGACGGCTGAATGCGTTCATGCTGTTCAGGCAGAAGTTCTTCCTCCGCGTCCAGGGGTCGAAGACCTCTGACATGTTGGCGCGCACCTTGTGTCAAGCGCTTTTTGTCCTTCATGTCAGGGTCGTCTTGCCGCACTTGTGGTTGCATCGATGAAAGTCGTCTACCGCGGAATACTGTGGCTTTGAAGGCTGCCTTCAATGGCTTGCGCCGGGCGATGCGCTCCTTCAAGTGGCAGGCATCACCATGAATCAAAGCATCTGCCTTCACCTGACCGCCTGGATCACCTCCTCCTTGTCCTTCATGCTCTCGTTGGTCGGGCGCTCCTTTGCCGCAAGCGCGCCCTGCGACAGTTCGGGTCGATGACAAATTGCCACCCTCCGGTGCGGTTCTTGAGCGCAAGCCTTTGCCGGGACTTGTTAGCGCAAGTGCACGCGCGTGGTAGCGGGTCCTTGGACGCCACCGTTATGACCCCTTCATTCGAAGCTCAGGGTCTCGAGGAGGACTGGTGTGTTGAAAAGGAAAGAGTCCGTGGTGAAGGAGATGCGCTCAGCAGGCTGGTTGTTTGGGAACGGCGCAACCTGGTTCCTGGTCCTCTGGGCAAGCGCGTAGCCTTCAAGTGCCCGCTGAAGGTACAGCTGCAGGTTGGCGCCTGTGATAGCTCCGTGGTCACCTTCAGAAAGCAATACGCGAACGCTGGCTTCGCAAGGTTGCCGCGCATGAACCTTAGGAAGGTCATCTCCAGGCACTTCATCGACAGCCCGAAGCCATTAGTCACCAAGGCTTCATAGACAGGCTGGGAGCGCATCGTGGCGCCGCCAGGTCACCCAGCATCACCAGCATCAGAAGGGCCTGCTTCAGGTCACCCAGTAGAAGCCGAAGCCCTGCATCTGTTCAAAGAGAGAGCGTTAACCTTGACGCATCTTGGTACGCAAAGTTCGCCCTGCGCGTAGCGCGGCATCCACTGGTCTCACATACACCTCGAAATGTTGAAACCTTATCCAAGCGCTCGCTGCTCGTGATGACACACGGCTCCTTCAGAGTCCTGATCAATAACTTGGCCTTACAGATCCTTCATATCCCCGTAATTAGGTCGTGTCTTCGGCTTCCAAGGCCATGATGACACAGAGGAGCTGGCGAAGACAAGATGAGCGAAGGAGTTGCTAAAATGCTGCAAAGAAGCAGATGCCAAGCTATCATTCACTCTATGCATGCCCAAAAAGTTGCATATTCCCCCTTATGAGAAAGACAGTGTTTTACGCGTAAATTACCACCACTCAGGGCATTGGCCTCTCTATTATTATCAACAATACTACAGTACTATTTATTCTTAGTAATAGTAGTATTATTGTTAGCAATACCATCACTGCTATTATTGTTATACTATACAAATTCAAAAAGAGACAAGGGCCAGCCACCAACCAAGAACTAATATTCGATGATATTGCGCGTGGGCGTTCCAGCAACATCAAATGGTTTGCAAAATTATGGATGACATTTGACAAACAAGCATTGAGACATGGCGGCAATGAACCTCTCACACAAATACACGCACACACGCACGCACCAGCGCCCAACAACGTCAAGCGAACACGGGGCGTGATACAAGAAAAAACGCCATCTCTTCAAGATAGAACATCCAGAGAAATGTGTGTCTAAATGCCACACTAAACGAAAACACCCACGACCCCAACTACTCACATAATTGTGTTTTCAATTATTGACCGTTATATTTTTTTGGAGTATTCCTGGTCATAGTTGTGCCTTGTTCCATTCAGCAATCATTGTTCGTCTTTCCTGCGAGAGAGATTCAAAAGCCCCAGGCACACAAGAGACTGGCGCAAAGACCCATCCTCCATGGTCTGTCGCTTGATGGGGCCATGGTGCACCTGATGGGCGAGATTCTTAGATCATCTCGCCTGAACCTGTGGTTTGAGCACAGCCCGTGGTTTCAAGCCAATAAAATCACTCTGAAGTTGCAAACATTGCATCCATCAATAGCTTTGACACACAGGCTTTTCTCCGAAAAGCATGATAGTGGACAGGTTTCTTCAAACATTGCCTGGCAAACTTCCCTGACAGACTTCACTGGGAGAACCCTCGCTGTGCACAAGCCCTAGGAGTGAACCCGAAGCTGAGCGGAATTGAAGCCGCGCCTTTCGCTTCTTGGCGGGTGCAGCTAGTGCCGCTCTGGCACCTCAGGTGCCGAACCCCAAGTTTCATGTCAAGAGCTGTTGAAACATACACGCCGTGGCCTAGTTACTGGGAGCAAGCTCATTTATTGGCACCAGATCGTGACAAGGGAGCTTTCGCGCCTGCGTAGTCAGGGTGCGCTTCGTACATCTGACGGACGATGCTTCTCTTCACGGCCTACAGTGAGAGGAATTGCAACTCCCATGATTCTCCGCCTTCACTAAACGGGTTGATGCAGGTGGTTGCCGTGATGAGTCTCGTTGAGCCTGCATGTGCCTCTGTCGCTTTACGGTTGCTCATCTGGGCAGCCAAAGAGTCCAGTGCAAATCTCCGGCCTTGGGAATGTGCTTGATGTGCATGAAGTTGCACAAGCCGCCACGGGCACATCGAGTTTCGTGGAAGGCTCGGCAACGAGCTTCCCGAAAGTCTGTAACTGGACTGTACCTCCAGTGGTCCATTGTCCATGTGGGGTTGTCTTAGTGATCTGAGACTGCACGCTCGACCAAATCTATGGTTGGGAGGGTGTCACTCCCGCCGGGTGATCCCGTTGCGCAAGAGAACACGTCAAATCATTGACATGCAATATACATGCTGAATCATCCCAAAACACAAGTTTAATTGCTGAGCAAACGACTCTTATGTCTATTCCCTCACGTTTCAAGTGATCATTGATAAACAGTCCTAACAACACCTTCTTGATGACTCAGCCATCTACTCCGTGCGCACTCGACTGCGATGAGGCGACTGCCATAGAAGCGCTTGTCCATCTGTTGGGCCGCCTTGCTTGGCAGCAGCAATCTGATTTCTTGGCTATGACACCAGCCTTGTCGGCATCGTTGTCATTGAAGTACCTTGGAAAGAACAATCTCACTAAGTGGACTGCTGAGCAAGGAAACTTGGCAATATCGGACAATGGCAGGCCACTTGCAATAGACGTTGCCGAGCATGTGCTCTGAGACGTTGTCCACAACAACCATGTCTTCAATCTGCCAGCGGAAAAACGATGCAGCCGCAGCACGTTGCAAACATGTCCAATGGAGAGGTTCTTCTTTTGCTGGTGCATCAAGCCGGAGAGGCGCGCGATGTGTTTTGATTGGAGCTGGTCTGTTTCGCTGCATAAGAATTGGCGTGCACATCCAGCCGGTCAGGACCCTTCACTCCGTCCATGAAGTGCTCTTTGCGATTGAGCGGCTGGATGACAAGGCAGGGTTTCTGCACTTCAAGGTGAAACAAACTGTGAGGCACACATTTGTGGCCTCTCCAACAGCGGCGAAGTATAATCGCCACACTGAGGACGAACTAAGCACATTCGACACATGCGCACCATTATGGGAAGAAGGTTTAGCAATCACGTTTGCAAAAACTGATCTTGGAACCGGCATTTCTTCCGTTCATATGAATTAATATTGTTGGTTTCAACGGAATGGGAAAACGCATTGTGCCTCCTGCTTATGCAGGTTGCGACTAGCCTCACCGCTTGAGGCCAAGAGGATCATCATCGTCCTAAGTGGCCAGTTCCCAAGACCCCTCTCCTCCCGCAAATGGTAAGTGCATCAAGCAGTAACACGTGTTGTTCCAGCTTCCTGTTCAACCGCACATCGGAACTGGCTAGTTTTCCCTTGAGTGTTTGACTCATTAAGTGGGCTACGTGTTCAGACTTGGAACTAAAATTACATTTCAACGCTTGCCGAAGAGCCAGCAGCAATCGGAAAACGTGTAAAGGGCGAAAACCTGTCTCAAAAGATCTGTTGGTTGTGGGAGGGTGCCCTCAGAATGCATGCAGTTATCAATCAAGAGTAGTACATGCCACTCTGACAAATCCGAGCAAATATATCAAACCTGAAAAGCTTTCGAAATCAAACTAAGCGTTGCTCTCATCAGTTTGACCATGCTTAGGAACATCCGACCATGTGCCATTGTGGAAGTCTAACCAATTGTCAGGAAATATGATCAAGCTTTAGGTAGGAAATCTGGCAAAATTTAGGACATCGAACAATGATTGAGGGCATTCGAACAAACCGTGACACATCCGAGCAAGTTTTACGAATGCGGCCAGCTATAGGAATCTGACCAACTTCGGGGGTATCTGATGAACAAGTCCGTGGACATCAAGCCTTGGTTTCGGACGCCTAGCATACTTAGTGTCATGACCACGCCTTGGGATATCCGGTCAAGTCCTCAGAAAACTGACCAAGTCGTTGGTCTTTAAAACATATTTGAACACATTTGGCGAAGTGTCAAAGCATCGCCAAGTTGTTGATTCCGACCAAGCTGTAAAACATCTGACTACGCTTCAGGGATCTGAACACGACTTACAAAAGCTGGTCAACTTGCTATTTCCGGACACAAGAGTCAAAACCAATCATGTCTGCTTGCATGGACAAGTTGCAAACTCTCGGGCATCAACAAGCAAGGGAATGAGCGAAAGCTAGGAGAAGCGTTTCTAAACATGTCAGGATTAGACCCAGCGCTGTTAAGTTTGTCCAGGTCAAAAGTTTGCCTGACGCAGAGCCTGAACAACTCTCCAAACACAAACCAAGGTAGAATACAGGGCTTTCATGGTTTGTTGATTGGAATATCTCTGGAAGCCCAAGCAACAACTAAGACCTGTCCATTTAGGCCCCTGGATGAAGCCCACACTCCTCCTCATCATCAGAGAACTCAAGGCTCGCCAGCCGCTCCTCGCACAGCCCACCCACCTTTTGGCCCGCCAAAAGTTCCATCTCAATTGGATTATTCGCTTTCGCTGCAGAACCACGGGTCCCTGATTTTGACAGCCATGTGATCAGCTGAGGTGTGGGTCGGACACAATGATACATACCGTTCGAATCGAACAAACACGCGACTGCGGGGATCCCGCCGTTGCCAAGATGTGGCTATTGCTCACCAGTAAATGCGCACTTCCGAAAACCCAGCCTGCATCGACATGCCTTCGTGTCGGTCACCATAACCTCCGGTGGCCTTGAATGAACTTGGAAAGCACGAGTAGCACTCTGACTCCAGAGTGTTCCAAACCACCTTCTCTGTGATACAGACTGTATGCGCAGAATTGCAGCAATGAATTTGGTGCATGCCATTTCATGCCAAGGAACACGTGTAGCGGGAACTGGTTCTGCAGCACCTCCACACAAAACCGCCAAACCGCCCGCACAAGCACTCAACAATCACATGCACAAACAACAAACTGCAAACCAGGCCTACACCAATTCAAAAGCCATCATATTAATATGCCCCCCCTCTCTTGTGCTGCGTGCTGGCCGGGGGTGTTGCCTCCTTTGAGGCAGTTCTACGAGTTGTTTGCAGCAACGTTCTGCCAGAAAACCTCAGCCAGCCTACGCCAACCTCCTCCTCTTCTGAGCTTGAGGACTTGGCATCGGAGTCCTGAAGCTGTTTGAACCCCACGCTCGTGCCTTCCCTTTCCCATCCGGAGCCTCTTCCTCTGCGAATCCGAAATCCGCAGCCTGCGAAAGGGCATGCCTCTCCCATGGACGTCGAACTGATCGTGCCCTTTCCACTCAAAGGCCCGTGAAGCATCCCTTCTTTCACCTTCACTCAAGGGATTGGGACAAGACAGTCCTGGGCGGCTTCTCGTTTTACACACAGCTTCACGAGCCTGTCTGTTCAAGCGCGCGAATCCCTCACCTGCAAGGCTACCGCGCCGGTCTCCACCACAGTGGCGCCCTCCGCTGGGCCTCGAAGTGTTTCGGTCTTCCGTGTCCACGGCACAACGGCCAAGCCTGCTTCTCGCACTGGAGCTGGCGCAGACTCCTCCGTCCGAGGCGTGATCTCAGCCCTCATCTACGGCAACAGGACACCGGGTCACTCGTCACCAGTTCTGGCGCCTTCCCCAGCTGATCCCCCTGATGATTCAAAGTATGCGACATTTACCCAAGCGAACTAAATCGGAAGGCAACCTCAGAATGTTGCTGGCTCAGCAAGTCACAACGTCCTCGACTGTCAAGTCCAGGAATGTCCTGCCAGCCATAGCAGGAGGCTGACTTGAGGCTCGTGCCAGATTCTGGTCAAAACCTAACTATATTGCCTGATCTGGAATGGCAATGATGACTCCCTTTCCAAGACTATCTTGCCATCAAGAATCACAACGACATTTTCCTTGGATGAATTGGATGAAGACCCGAACTTGGCCGTTGACTTCGGCATTCGGCTGGGGTCCGAGCTCATCAGGTGAGTACAAAGTGGTATGTGCTTCCGCTGCGATCGCCCCCCCCCCCCCCGCACCGGGTCCCTTTCAAAGGAGGCGGAGAAGCATCACCGTCCCGATCACCTTGCTCATGTTTGAGGGCCAAAGCAGCAACATGGAACCGGGAACCACCAGGAAGCCTACAGGAAATCAATCGATTGGAAGGATCCCAGCTCGAACACATCTTGTCAGATCCAAAGCCTTTTCACTTGAGGCGGCCTATGGCCTACTAGTAAGAAGCACAAACTCGGTTCCCGGCTCTCCCCATCTCTGGCACCTACCAATGCAGTGGCGAAGGCTACCGGATTTGGGCGATCCGATCTGATCCGCATGCAGGCGCTCTTTCTTGAAGCCATGGCGACCGCCGCCTGTGTGAGACGGGATCCCTGTGAACTCTGCAAGTCAAAGCATGGACGACTCATCGCAACGGCAGCCACAAGCTGGCCAAAGGTCAGGGGTATACTGGAAACGACTCGCCCTCAGTTTCCACATCATTGCGGATTGCAGCGAAGTAAATGCACTTGTAACCTTGGCATCCAAGAGAAACCATGGCAAGCTGGATCAATTCGGATTGGGAGCCTAGCACGTTGCCCATGCTTCGGCAACGTGACACCAAAAGATAAAAAGAAATCCAACCCATCGAACACGTCTTGGCAGCTGTGACATCTCTCCGGTTGCAACCTAGGCATGTTTGTAAAACAAAAGACCCAGCCGGCCGTCCGAAAGCGGAGTTGACCCAGTTTGCTACCCCAGCAAGAAGCAGCGGCGACTTCATCCGAGCGGCGTGTGCGGTACATGGCCTGGCTGTTCGTCGTGTAAAAGGCTTCCCGGAAGTCCTAAGGCCCACGATCTTCTCTGCAAATGCAGCCGGGGAGACAAGACCTGGACTGCAATACTAACAAAACACAAGCTCGACTCTGGAAGGATGTCACGTTGGATTAGACCAATTCTTTGATGTCAATGACTCAGCCGAAGCCCCACCCTCAGACAGTCCTCCTCCTTGAAGTCAAAGTACTTCTGGATTGCTGGCTTCACCTCCTCCCAACTCAGCTCGATGGAGATCTCAGTGACCCAAATCCGACTCCGCTAGTTTTGCGCTGCGAGACGGGCTGCTTTGACTGGGTCAATGAGCACATTCTGCGCCGAAAAAATTGGGGTTCCCCAGGAGAAGGTTCTGTTCAAGGGCCAGCCCACACCTGCCCACACAATCCCACACTGCTGAATCCCCAACACGCCAAGCGCTTCAACATGTCAACCGGGTCTGCGGCATGATGAGGCTGCTCCGCGTAGTGATACAGAAGCCTAGGGCTGCAGCCGTGGCAGAACGGGACATCTTCCACGGAGTTGGAGCTGACACCTGACTAAAAAGAGGGTCCACACCCAAATTGGCTGTACCACACATTCAGTTGCTCGCCAAGGCTAAGCATCTCATCTCAAGAAAGGCTTCGAAAGAGCCAACCTGGGATCTTGCGAGATGGGGCTGTTTAGTCTCGGGTCTGTCCATTCGCCCCAAGTGGCGGCCCGATGTTGGCCCAAAGGCCACCAGGCCTGGCGAGTTCGATGACTGGACAGCGTGACCAATGGCATGTCATAGATGTCATGGAGGCAATGGAGGCAATGTAGGCATGAGCCTAGAAGTGGTTCAGCTTTTGCCAACCAAGCATCTAGAGACACTAGAGACCAGAAACATGGCTTACAAAGTGACCATCGTGGACTCAAAGTGTCCGGCATGTCAGAAGCACTACAACTCAACGCAGTTTTTTTTCCTGTGGCCAGTGAACATACCCCGCCTGATGATATCGGCAATGGTTCTAATGTACAGGAACACATTCTTGGCCGTGTCCAGGAAGAAGCAGGTAAGAACAGCCTGGTACCGCATGTCAAGCTTCAAGGTTGTACAACCGAGGCTGGCCCCAAATTAGCTAGTTATGCTCACCCAGAAGACTTAGGTGCAGGCATCCCACTCTGCGAACTGCGCCTCGTAAATGTCAATGAATTCTCCAGCACACATTGAGAAGTCCTGACTGCGAAATCACACAGCAACGCGTTTGGCCCTGCCTCCGGTTGATTCCCTAACCCTCATAATTCGCTTCTTACCACAACAGGATGCCCCTTCCACACGTTCAGGGTTCAACAAGCATAAGCGTGTATTCAGGGATGTAGTAACCTGTTCCTGTGGGTGCACATCAACAAATCGGCAAATCTCAGTCCCTCAGCATGCTTTGGCATGCTTTGCAGGTCCTCTGGGGTTGTCTGAACACCGGGAGGGCACAGCTCTTTGGGCGGGCAAACATCAGGGATGCGAACGCTGCGGAGGTTGTCTCTGGCAGCCTTGCGGTTCTCCAAGTTCAGGAGGAAGGGATAAATCGACACGGAATTTTCCACAAACGTCTGGTTGAGCACCCACTTGCTGCCTTGCAGCATGTGGTAGGAGAACTCATTCCCTTGTGCCGAGTAGCCTCGCCGTGCACACTCAAAGGGCAAGCGTGACAGCCCGCAGCCGGGCGCCAGAACCCTGGGCTTTCTCTGGTTTTCCACTGGAACATACCTTTGAAGTGCATCCAACAGGCATCCGTATTGGGTTTCCCGCTCTTCTGCACCCTCCTCCGCCCAATCGCGCACGAACTGCCTCAGAACAGTGCGCGCCTTGCTGCTGTTTCTTTCTTGCACTTGATGATCTGGGGGCAGGAGCCAAAATTCTTGAGCATCTAAGTCGGACCAAACCAACGTCTTCAAAAATGCGTCATTGGCCTTTGCACACCGGGCCATCTCGAAAAGTAAATCATCGCTTTGCAGTTTCATCAGGGCCTGATCGTGCGGATCAATCATCAAGGAATACATGTCCTCCAGCATGGCAAGTTCAGACTCAGCGTCATCCAAGTAACTCATCAACGAGTAACAAACCTCTGCATAGTGGCGGTGGTCTGCATCGTCATGCTCATTCCCACAGCACTGAGTGCCATCATGCGTATGCTCATGCGCGTGAGCGGCATGTGCAGAATTTGTAGCTTGCGCGGCAAGCGCAGCATGAGGTGCCTCAGGAGCCTGCGCATTGGGCAAACAACCTCCACGCGATCCTGCCAAGCCGTATCCGGCTTGTCCAGCTAGGCCAGAAGAATACGTCCCGGCCAGCGACTCCGCGAGCGAAGGCGGAACAAATACCTCATCTGCCCCATGCATGGCCGAGTCCACAAACTAAACCCATCTACTCACAGGACTTGTTTGTCTCAACAGCAGGCTGCAAGCTTCTCGGATCACATCTGACAAGGTGGAGTAAAACCTGATATCAAGGCTACCCAAACCCATGCAAAGGCTCGAAAGGGCGGCCGCTTCCATTTCTGGTTGGGACGGCTTCTAGTAATCTTCAATTCCCAAGGACTTGACACTGTGGATCTGACGGTAGAGCCAAATGCAAATTCGCAGAGAAACCCTTGGCATGCCGCGCCTAGAAGGGTCTTGATTGACACCATCGGAAAAGTACCGTTCAAAGCAGCTGCTTTTATGGAATCTGGAAGCCCTTTCCCCTCCCTGTAGCCATCTGCTGTGTCGGGAAGCCTCTCTGATAAAGAAGTACCATGTCAGCAGTTTCCATTTGTGCCCCAAACTCTCTGCGTGAAGAGTGCGCAGCCGGCGACAGTGTCTGATTGGGCGTCCCATCATGCTCACCATCATTTGGGCCCCCAAACAACTCCAAGTCGATGGAATCGCGGTTCAATTTTGGAGTTGCCAGTTTCTGTGAGCCCTGGTTAGCAAATATTCACATGCCACAGGGAAAAAACAACTTACTCGTATCCTCTATCCAGTAAGCTCTAGAACACGGACAATCCGTGGTCAAGCCAAACCAGTGCTTGCTCTCGCGCTTTCCTCTAGAGTTGACTGGAAACGAGCCGCGCTTGCGTGAGCTCCTTTATTCTCGAAGCAACTTCTGCAGCTCAGAGGCCTCACCTCATTTGGGGCAGCCGTCTAACTCAACACTGGGAGGGCAGCGTGTATGAGCTTCCAGCGCATTGCACGCTTTGCAAGGTCACGCTAGTAATTAAGAATAGTTCAGATCTGCAACTCGTTTAACTTTCGAATGTCTTTGCCCACGAAGGTCCGCCCAACTTCACCAGTCTGCACTTAGCATGTTTGCGGATGTATGGTGTTGCTGGATGTTTCGAGTTGTGTGGGGCAGGGTTGGCCATTCCATCCGAGTCGCGTTCAAACAACTTGCCAAAGCTGCGGAGGCGACTGACAGCGCTCAGGGCAGCTGAGCCTCGGCTTCAAAAAGTACACTGAGCTGGTATCAGGATGGACCAAACATCGGTGGATTGGCAAGGACCAAAGAGAGAAGTCTGAATGACCTCGGAATGCTGTATCGGGTTCAAACCATCCTCCAGCAGCAGCTGGGGCACCGGCGGTCACCTCCTGCTTGAAGCAACTGCTGACACCTCAGCCACATAGAACGCAACAGCACTTTTCCTCCTAAGCGGGCACGTGCCAAATGTAGGAACCTCACACAAATCCTATCATCACGCATTGCCAGGCCAGCCAACTGCCCAAATGCCCGGCTGGTCTCAGGGTGGGATGAGGGCGTGGCACGGAGACGTGACCGTTTTCTGCGGCCAATTGCACGGCAGTGCGCTTGCCCAGCAGGGCCTGCACAGTGTGGCATGTTGAGAGTGTGAAGCTTTGGATGGCCTCCACCTTAGCAGGGAAATCTAAGCTTTCGGGGATTGTTCATCAAGAACAACATGAGTAAACATATGTGAAAACATGGCACAAGCTCAGGTTGAGCGCAATTGACCATGACCGGGAAATGCAATATTTTACCTTGCTGAGACAACTTTCCATGTTAACAGCGCGGCCGCATACATTTGGATGAGACAGGCGGTGTTCAAACTTGAAGGGCAAAGAAAGCATGTCATGGCTCCTGCACCGCTCTCCCCAACCTGAAATTGACATACGTTGCGCTTGTGGTTTCACAAGATTGGTCACATGCCAAGGCAAACCTCACCACACCTGACCAGAACGGCCTCCTTGCTGCTGAGGCGGTGGAAGCCGCAGCTGTCTGGAGCTGCGCGCCTGGGCCGATGCGCATGAGTTGCTGAGCTGGCAGTTCCGTCTTTGGTTTCGGGGCTCTGGAAGCAAAGGAAATCCGGCTGCTTGGCTAGGAGAGAAACATGTTGATCACCCAGGCTCTCCCAGGCTTCATTTCCGGTTTGACTCTTTGACAAGGTACTGTATCAGACAGGCAGTCAGTTGAGCCAACGCATTGCGACCTGGCTCCTGTCTAAGCCTCTGGCATCTGCAGCAGCCGCCTCACACAAACCTGCAGGAACATGACCGAATCAATCAGCTCAGCAGCAAAGCCCTTAACTTGTGGGTTTGCACTGGTGATTGCGGAGGGAAGTTGATTGGTCCCTTGATGCTTCCTTCCGGAGGGGTGGTGCTTCCGCTTTACGGCCTCTGCGCTTCCAACTCGTAACATGGTTCCCCTCCCTGTTGTACAATCCTTGGCCGACCCATTGATGAAGAACCTATCAAGATTCCCAAACACAGGTGTGAGCAACAAGCCATGTCTCTCAAGCCTTGATTACCATGTAAATACATGACCCAAGAGGTTCACCCAGTGGCCTTAATGTTCAGGGCCACAAACCTTCAAGTTTACCATTCATATAGCTAAATATTCATAGTATATGCTTCATATCAATCTACCATCCCAGTTGCAGGATGCGTGAGTACTGACCCTTAACCAAAATCTCCTGGTTTGAGAAACAGGGCTGGTGAAGCTGGGCGATTCTTTCAGGCACCCAATGAACGAGCATGGATGGACGAAATCCTATGAATGAGACAAACGACAAACCACCTATCAACATCTATCAACTAGTTGAGTGCAGGATTTGGTCTGAGGCGCCGCGCCGCGCCTCCAAGCCGCGCTCTGCACAATGCGCCAGCACTGGGCCCAGAGTGGGCCCCGCACACCGCAAAACCCCCACCTTCGCCTCGCGAGGCATCGGACATGACGACCCACGTGTAAGCGGGTTCCCAAAGGTTTTTGTTTGAACGCCAAAGCTTGCTCCGGTACGCAAAGCAATGCGAGCTTGAACCAAGGAGAAGGTGTTCAACCAGCTTTTGACATCACATGCTTATAAACATGTATTGAACACTGGTAAAAAATAAATAAATAATCCTCTGAGTGTTGTGTGAACAATGTGTCAGATCTCACGTGGCCTGCGACAGGGCCTTCTAGGTACATGTTAAACAAAGCGGAACCTCAGTGGGCCTGACACACAGCTGGTCGAGCTGTCACACTTTATAAATCAGCATACCTCACTGTACATGGTGGCATCTCTTTGTAGCTATCTGACAGCCGCTCGTTTGTATGCTTGTACGGCTGGTCGAGCAATGGTTCAATAACATGCGGGATCTCATGTGGCCTCCAAGGCAAAGTGGAAACAAGGTGTAAGCAACGTTTCTCCGCAACACACACACACACATGGTTCAAGTTTAAAAAATACTAATCATGTTCAAAACCAACTGGTTTCTAAACATGATTGGAAGCTGAATCTGTTTAAGTGTTTAAGTTTGAAATGCTTGAACGGGTTTGACCCCTCTCGGGTGATTTGGGGGGTGGTCAGGGGTGGGTGGTTTGGCGGCGTCGAGATGAGAAAACCCCGTCCACTTCAGCAATGAAAGAGCTGCAAGGTCATTTCGATAACATTTTCAACTGACCAAATATCAGACGTACAAGTAGACTTCTGCTAGGCCTTGAGCCACAGCAAAACACAGCTAGCAGGTAGCCATTGCCTTCACTTTGTCCGCAACATTGGGCTTTGCAGAATCACTTACCTTTCCCGTGCCTCGCAGTCCTCCTTGCCGCGAAACACCAGATCCGCTACGATGGGCTTGGCGGCTGCCAGGTCCCCATCCGCGGCTATGGCGGCCACGGGCACAGGGGCTGCAGAGGCCGCAGAGGCCGCAGAGGCCGCAGAGGCCGCAGGGGCCGCAGGGGCCGCAGGGGCAGCTGCAGAGGCTGCGGTGGCCGGCTTTGTGCCGCCTCGACCGGTATCCGGTTCGAGGAAAATTTGATCACAATGATGGCGATCACAGTTGATCACAGCGCCTTGCCTGAAACATGTTTGCACTTGCTTGGCATCAACATGGCCGTGGCTTTGACTCGCCTCTCTTCTTGCGACGCTTGGGTTTCAAAGGCGTGCTCGCGCTTCTGCTGTCCTGAGCAAACACTTGAAGTCTCCGACTCCCCGTCCGTTTCCGGACCAAGCCAAACAATGTGAGAAGTGGAAGGGTGTTTCCTGGTGTTTCCTTGGGATGGACTCGGCTCCCACGGCTTCCAAATTGCTTTTGGTTTCCCTATCCAACAACAAACGAGGGGCTCAGCATCGGATTCCGGGGCCAAAAGCAAAATGACGATGGAGGGCTCTGTCAAGTCACCGCGGCGTCATTGGCCGCTGTGGCGCTCGTGGGCGGTGCAGGAGCGGATGCCTGGCGCAAGCTCGACCAAGCCCGTGACCCTCTGAAAGGTTAAACCCTCCGGGCCAGAGGGCCAAGCAGCGAGATGCCGGTTTAGATCATGGGGATGTTCCCAAACCTACCAGCCGCCA